TGCCTCCCTTGTCAGAAGGGCTTATTTACTGTCGTCTACGCAGGAGCTGATAAACGTCGAATTAGAGATCATCGATATGGCGGTACGCGCTGCGGGCTTTTCACGTGCAAAGTTTACGTATGTGCTCAATAAGGTAAACAAGGCACTGTTTCCATGTACTACTTTATGCAGCAAAAGAGAATCTTCAAAGGTTCAAGTAGCGTTGCCTTACTTTGGACCCATATCTTTACGTATCTGCAGAATCTTTAAGCAGCACAACCTTGTTCTACCTTTAACCCCACTTCCAAGCCTACGCAAACTTATTTGCAATGATAGAGACAAATTTTCCATTCTTGAGAAATCGGGGGTCTATGCTGTACCGTTGGAAAATCAGGCAATGGGAGTAAATACAAGATATATCGGGGCCACCACTAGAATGCTTTCCAGCCGCCTTGATGAGCACCAAGACGATGTTATGAGGGGAAGACACACCACCGAGCTCGCAAAAAAGGTACTTGAGCAGGGTTACAACCCGCTATGGTCCCAAGTGGTTATGCTCAAGAGCTGCAAAGATCGAAAAACTGTTTTTATATGGGAATCTCTCCTCACTACCACCTTGGACACTTGCAACACCCCTACGCTTGAGCTGCCTAGTGTATGGGTCACGTTGTACAAGCGATTAGGCGAGTATTCGTAGTCTCTAGAATGCATGCAGCGTGAGCATAGCTCTGCGCATGCGCCAGCTCGCACTTCACGGAGCTATCTGCTCGTTCGGTTTTCGAATTATGTTTAAGTTTCTACGTGTTCTTAACGGCTTTAGCATAATTTCAATTTATATTACGCGTTCTATTTTGTGTTCGATTATTTTTTGTTTAAATCGCCTGAGGACGACGACAATAAGCTCGTCGAAAGTACTAGCGATAAAAAAACGCATTTAACGCCGAACTCAGTGTTTTTGTTTTTTTACAAGCTTTGTCCTAGAACTTTTCTGTCAATGGGTGTATTAACATAATGTTTGGTATTAATTTATAGTATTGTTTTATTATTTCATAATGTAGTTATTGTGTAAAAACTTATAGTTTCAGGAATTAGTACTCTAAAAATTGATTTCAGTTAATCACTTTTTCAGATAGTCAACACTACCGTACTTCAAATATTTTATTGCAAAATGAAAAATGTACAGCTGCAAAAGCACACTGTAAATTATAAGTTTTCATTTCCATTATTAATTTCAGGTCCTTAAACATCAGCAGTAACAGTAATGAAGCTTTATAGTTAAAAAATAATCAAGTTGAAAAAGTAACAGATATGATTACTTGGGTACTGTGATCAATGCAAACAATGATTGTACTGTACAGAAGAAATACGAGCGAGGACAGAAAAAGCAAGAGCTAATTTTCTCAGAACAAAGAAAATATTTTGCAGTAAAGATTTAAGCTTAAAATTAAAGATACGCTTAGAAGTGATATATATTCAGTATGTTTCTGTACAGAATGGAAGCCTGGACATTAAAGAAGTCCAATGTAAAGAAACTCGACTCTCTTCAATCATGGATATACACAAGAATATTGAAAATCTCATGGGTGAATAAAATTACCAATGTGGAGGTACTAAGGTGGAGGACAAATTAGAAAAAATAAAGAAACAACATTGAACATTAAAAGTTGAAAACTTCAGAACCTCAATCTGTTTGAGTGATAATTCAAGGAAAAATAAAAGATAGAAGAAGAATACAGTGTATTATGGCTGAGCAACTTGAAACAATGATATAACTGTAGTTTCAACTAACTTTTCAGACCACCAGTGTCAAAAGAGAAGCTATGATAGTTATGATGATTTCCAACCTTAGGAATGGAGATGGCATTTAAAGGGCATTTAAAAAATAAATTCTTCTTCAAATTACCCTGCTTTGGACTCTAATTTTCAGCACCATTCTTGTACAGTTAATTAGCATGTAAAAAAACAAATTGGGGAATGATGTCCAAGTCTGAGAAAGTTTACCTCATCATTCCCTTTCTTGTCAACCCTGTTTGTAACTTACTAATAATATAGACAAAACATGATAATTGGTACAAAGAACAATACAGGTAACCCCGTATAACACGGCACTTCTATAGCACGGATTCGCTCTAACACGGTTTGAGAATTGGTACCATCCCCCGTATAACACGATACTTTTATAGCACGGATTCACTCTGACACGGTTCGAGAATTGGGTAAAACCCTCGTACAACATGAAACGTAATAAATTTTTACATACCTAAGTAATAATAGTTAATGAAAATTATTATTTTCGTGAACTATTAGTACTTAAGTATGTAAATTTTCTCTTCTCGCCTTCTGTCGATACACGTGGTCCTTCTCGAAACTTGTTTCAATGTTGCCAGATAGCGACGCTTCTGCTTCTGATGTTTCCGAATGTTTTTCCCTTATTCCATACTTGCTTTATTCTTCATAAGTGTTTAGCACCATATAAGGAAATTTATAAAGACCTTTTAACTAGAAGCAAGCAATCCAAAATTGCATACATTTTGCAAAAGGTAAAGCATGGATCTGAAGATAATGCAGAAAAATGCTCAGAGGATAAGGATAACTTGCCAAAAAGAAAACGCTCTCGGTTAATTAATAGTGTTTTTAGTGATAACAAAGAAACATTGTTTAATTTATATTAATATGTATCACTTAAAGAAATTTTTATGAAGATATTTATCTTAATTATAAAAATATACTAGCATGTTTTTTAATTTTTGGAACCTAACCCTCCTTTTCGTATCAGTTCTTTGTTTCGTATAACACGGCAATTTTTTGGAACGTAACTACCGTGTTATACGGGGGTTACCTGTATACAAATATGAAGTACAGTTTATCCATTAATTAAAGATCTCAAATTAGGAGGGGTAATTGTCTCTCTGGCCACTATCCACTGGCTTTAAAATTTATTAACTGGCAAAAGATATGCGAATGCAGGCCATTTCACGAAATAACTATGCTTGACAACAGCATAGGCAAAAATGCTTATATTAAATTATCCAGAAGCATGCATTATAATGTTGCCCGTTAACATACTTTCTTTGTATTTACATTTGCTAGCACATTTCAATTACAACTTTTACAGATGAAAGCTTATAAAACCATTAATATCAATATTTAAATTCTAGAATAGACGCAGCTGCCATAACTCAACCAAATCAAAAAATCAATAAATAGATACTTGAAAAATATGCAAATCCATGCTCGGTCCAAAGCACGAAGTATTAACATAACTCAAGAACAAATATTTTTGATTTATTATTATTAAAATAAATGACAAATCATGCAAATGTAACTGAAACAATGGCACATTCACACATAACTGACACATATTTTGCTACTTCTGATTAATACGTAATATATATATATAATGCATTTTTTCACGTTTCTATCTTCATTATTCAGTAATTAACAATTTATTAAAATCAAATTAAAGTTTAATGAACATGTTACGAGTTTCGGCACCTAACACATCAATTTATAAATAGAAAAATAAGCAAACAAATAAAAGACTAAGCATAGCGTGATTAGCTATTAATTAATTATATTTAAAAATACTTTTATACAAATTAATCACGTAAACTCGGTAAAACAATCCAATTACATGATTTTTAACTTATAAACTGTTAAAAACAATTAAAATAAGATTACAAACAAGACCATCAGAGCTCATATGCAACTCAGGTAAAGCGGGTCTGTTTTGCCCCCTCCTTTTTTTGAACAAACAAAATAAGTAGATTGTTTCTATATTAATAAGAAGAAATCTTAAGGATTTTTTCTATTACATCAAACAACTAATGGATTATGTCAAGACTTTTTCTCTTAGTAGAAATAACATTAATTTACACAAGCAGACAGAGCCAGCTTGAGGGTACGTCATACCCTTACGCCAGTTTGGTTTTTGGCACCCAATCATTTTTTCTAACTTCAAATTTTTAAGCTTTATAAATTTTACATTGCACGGAACATATCGTTTCCACCAATGCTTCCACATCACACTCCTCTTTAATACTATTACTTTTTTCACGTCGCCGACACCCCAAAGCCATTGTGCTCCCAGACCAGAACATACTACTTCCGGTAACACTTCTACTCTCTGCGCCTCTTTAATACTATTACTTTTTCTTCACAATGCCAACACTCCAAAGCCGCCGTGCCCCTAGGCCAATGCCTCCCGATGATAGAAAGACTCCAAATTTTCGCCGGGCCCGGAGAAAAATCCCCAATTTCTTCTCTGCTCCGCACCCCAAATGCCCGGTTAATTTGTAATTAATTAAAATACATTTAATTCAACGACGCCGACACAAACACACAGAAAAGAACAGATAAGGCAGGTATATGTAAAGCATTAAATTAAGGAATTTTGTGCAGAATTAAATACATTTTAATATAAATCATATAAAGTTAGCAAAGTGTGCAAATGATGATGACTTTTAAAATCTGAAAATACACGTTTTAATAATAAACGTTAGGCAAATTAAAAAAAAAAGAAAAAAACATCGAACTTCGTCACAATTAAAACGTTTGTTTATGGCATTTACGAGATAAAAATGCAAACAGGAACATTTAAACTTTAGCAGCGATAGACTTTAAAGAGCGGAAGCCTAAGTACGTTTAAGCGCCGATCATCGCGAAAATAAGCATTTACGGTTATAAAAAAAACTCCCGTAAACGTTTCGTACCGTTTATCTTCATGTATAACGCTTAATTAATTAACTATGGAAGCAACTTACTTCAAGAAACTTGCCTTAACTCGTCTCTTCCATCGTCTGCACGATACTTGCCAACTGGACCCGTAACAATACAAACTGCCATCTATCGTCGATTTTCGGTATTAGTTAAAAAAACAAACAAACAAAAAAAAAGTTGATGATCGATAGGGGTGTTATTTGTTTATTTATTTTTATATATACATTATTATTATTATTATTATCAACCCATCTTGATTATATATATATATGAAAGGGCCCCTCTCAATCCGACTTGTGACACGCAGGAGTGTTAACCTGTTTTATTGATTTTATATTCACATATCAAACACCTAAACAGAAGCCAGTTTCCTACAGAAAGTCCTCCAGGGAGGCATCAAATCGGCAAATCGCTCAGGTTGCTTTACAATCCAATCTAATTCAAACAATAAATTCAAAAGCACGAGGCCCTAACTGTAACTTCTTCGCGTTTGTAACAGGTCTGAACCCAACTTATTCCCTGTGTTTAGATACTTAATGTATTAGGAAACGGGCATTAAAGAATAAAATTACAGTAGAATTTCTCAGCCAAACACCCTTAAAAACTGAAATTCTCCCTTTTAACAGTAATGTTTTTTGTTTTAAAAAAAAAACATCTGTTTCTTTAATTACGTTAAATTCTAAGAATGTGAATAACCGAAAACTGGATTCGACTTACAANAAAAATGCTTTTGTGTTAATTTTTTAAATTAAATTATTTAAATAATTTTGATTTTATTTTGAGAATTGTGTATTAAAAAACAATAATGATGAAGTAAATATAAATAAAAAGCAAATGGCGGCGTAGTTTTGATGTCGATATAAAATTAAAATTGTTTTTTTTAGATAAATATTTACAAAATTGAGTTAATTGTATCGCTTTTTATGAGAAATGGATTAGTTTATTATTAATTTTTTTTTAATGTGACGATCTTGAAGAATTTTTAGTGAAAAATAATCGAAATCGGAGGCGAATTGGACGGGAAAAGTGAGTTAAAAATCGATTTTAAATGGGTTTTATAATTAATTAATTATTCAGGATCGTGTTTACGACGTTAGGAAACGATAAAATAATAATTCTAAGAAGAAAATTGAGAATAAAAATGATTTTTTTCGCGGAGTCCATTGACACATCGCCGCATTTTTTACGTTCTTTTCCCGTTATTTTCGGCGATATTTTCTCTTCGAAAAAAACAGTTTTGTGTCGTTTAAATAAAGATATTTATCCTTCATGAAGTATTTAAGATAAAAATTTTGAATTTAATAATCAGATAAGGTAAAGTGGTAAGTAAGGTCATAAGTTTCTATTTAAAAATACAGGTTCTGTTTTGGGTGCATTTTTCTAGTTTCTCGAGCAAAAAAATGACATTTTTTTAAAGATAAATAATCACCCGATTAATAAACATGTCACATTTTATAAGAAAATACATTTCCGAAAATTCCTTAACCGATTAAGGAGCGTATTTATGATATCGTCGTGCACTTCTCAATCTGTAGATCACGAACCCCTGTTGCCTATTCTTTTGTAATGTTATGGATTCCGCTACACGAATAGGTTGGAGAGTAATGTCGCGATTTTTATGATTATGATATTTTCCTCTGTAAAATTATTTATTTTTTCCTTATAGAAAGATTTTGTCTGTAAGTAAGTGGGATTAAGAGGCCAATAAAAGGTATTAATGCCTTAAAAATGTCATAAAAATCGTTTTTCGTGAGTCTGAAACCTATTTTTGTGGCATAGTTTATGATCGTGACTCACAGGTCAAGTGTATAAATAGGACTATTTTTTTGAATAACTATCGATAAAAATTTGATATTAAATATTCACTATTTTCTTAATCTATAAAATAATATTTAAGACATAAAAATCAGTGTATATGAGCCGAATTACTCATAGAAATCGGCAACGAAGCTAAATTAAGCATTGATTATATGGGCAAATACTTTGTTATGATGATGTTGGCACTTAGTTAAATTAAAACGAAGGAAAAATCATCATAATCGTCATCGATTAGGAATTACTTTTATGAGTTTTTATCGTTTTCCCCCTATTTACTTTACGTTAATTTGTCACGAGATCAAGGTCGAGCACGCGAGGAGTTTCGAAGGTTCTGCCTGTCCAACAGGATGGCCATGTGAGATTTTTCGGATTTTCTCCCGTTTGTAACCTAATTATGAGCCAATAGAAAGATTCCCCTGAAGACATCCTCTTTGCAGTGTGGCGAGGCCCCTACGTACAGTACAATGGATTATGGGCCCCTCGAGAGCTTGTACGGGCCGGGGATAGAGTGGGCACCTTTTGCCATTTGTTTTCGAATAAATGGAATAAGTAGAATGTCTCTTTATTATTTATTATTTTTTTTAAGTGGAAATGCCATTAATTTATAAAGGAACCCCTACGGCCTCCTAAATTTTCCTCAGATCCGAGGGAAAATCCCCAGCTCTCCTTTTCTCGACGACCTTGGATCCGTTTACATAATTTTACGTCATAAATTAACAACGTTTTATTGAAGTAACATGCCTAGAAAAATTTATAAATTGTGCCATAAATTGCAACGGTATATTTACGCGTAGGCTAAGAATATGGACATAAAAAGGCAATTGTCTGGGGCAGTTTGTTGATAAAGCAACTGTGGAGTTGCTTTATTTCTTCTTCAAATTTCTGGCTCCCAAGGCTCGTAAAACACCAGTAAAGCCTGGTAATTGGTTTCAGGTTAGCACCAATTACTAAGATGTTTCAGGGTTTCCTTCACCTATCTAACACCTAAATAGGGGGCAATTTCCCTTAGAAACCCTTATACAATTATAATAAGCCAATAAAATTATATATCTTATGATTAATATATTTGATTAAAGTCTAATTTTAATACAAAATATCAGTAATTTTTAGCTTCTGTGATCAGGTTGTTGTCCTTTTATCCATCATTTGGATGATAAAAATGAAGATCTCTTACAGAATTTAAGCATATGGCAGATTTAACAGATAACAATTATAAGATATTTAATTATATTAAATGAAATTCCTTATAAATTATATTTTTATAATAATTTATTCTAATTAAATATACCTTTACAACTGAACATCATTATCTTAAAACTAATTTAACACTCGTGAAGGATGGCCCAAAAGTCATTTAACCATCGTAGATACTAAATTACTGTCTTATTAGAATATTTCGTATGCAAACTGTTCAAAAATCGCGCAAAATAAGGCAGGACTGAGGCCCAAAAGTGAGTTAACCATTTTAAAGATTAAATTGATGTCTTAGTCAAATACTTTTCTGCATAAAAACCGTTTAAAATGCGATCCTTCTTACAACGTTTTAACAATTCCGTGTATAAGTGTACACTTGGAACGTACGGTTAACTGAATTTTAAACCATCTGTATTTTAGTAATAAAGATAATAATTTATTATACAACTATATATTAACAGCTTAATAATATATCACACGAATTTTTAAGGTAATAGAAAGCTTAGGGTTTGTGATTAAGGTGAATGAATATCCAGAAAACGGCTTAATTTAGAGACATGAAATTTTCAGGATAATTTTATAAGCTTACCTTAAGCACTTGTACCAAATTTGGTCGGTATGGGACTACGAAATCCAATATAAAATGCTGATTTACCGGCTGTTCTTCAGTAATCAATACGTACACGGACGAACCGCTTTAAAAGCACACCCAATTTATTGTATAACAAATGTATCTATACAATAAATTTATTATATTAAGTTCAATTGGGTCCTATACTACTGTGAGTATTTACGTGGCATGCTTTACAAATTTGTCAAGTCAAGGATAAGAACCAGATACGATTTATCATATAGACAAACTTACATCAATGATAAAGAACATAGTGTTATATAAACACGAATCAATAACTTTAAAAAGGATCAATTTATTTATACATTAATACAGAATTCTTCTTATAGAGAGTTACATGAGGATTTTAACTGGTGGTGATTTGAAGCTTTTGCTAGGGCCTCGAGATTTTTGGACCTTAGATATGTACAAATACGTGCTCGTTGATTGTTAGTACAGAGAATCCTGTACCATTGAATATCCTAGACCTTAAACAATATTGTGTGATACTTGCTGTAGTTTATATTATATAAAACATATACTAAAAGGCCTTTCAAATCCGTAGTTTGTCTAGAGCCTCACACTTTTAGAGAGTCAGGCAAGTATATATAAATGTTTGTATTTGGTTCAGCACTTCGAATTAAATACTAGCCAAGATTCTAGATCGTGAACAATATCAAGTATCTTGTGATGCGGCTTTAAATCATATACACAGAAAAAAGAGGCCTTAAAAATTGTGTGTTTTATCTAGGGCCTAAGATATGAAAGTAGATCATCGATATTTAGTCGTGCTCCATTTCTTTCGATTGAATCGAGACCAGAACTTAGTATTAGCTAGGGCCTTTAAAAATAAACTTGTTTAGGGCCTCACGCAGTTTAAAACCGGTACTTTAAATGTATATAGACGTGGCCAAATTTAGTTCCGTATTTTTCTTTTATGTTTAGAATCAACACTACGAAAGAATAGGTAAAGTGTCAACATAAGGACCTTGAAGGTGAAAAGATGTATACGACTGTATTAATTGTAAAGAAAACACTTTGTAACTATTTCTAAAAACTGTTTACGAAAGAGATAATTTGTATTTATTGAACAGTTTGTCCCTTTTTTAATCAATTTAAATTTCATAATTTATATGACAGCGCTGTATAAACAAGACACGTATAGTACAGTGCATTACAGTTACATGCAACGTTTTATTTTTTAAATAATCGATATAAACTACTTTCTAATTGTTTTTTAGTTATATAAGTCTAAATTTTATTCTTTTCTATCTTCTTACATATTAAATTTCGTAAACGTGCAGTCTGCGTGTGAGAGTTCCTTTGCCATTTTGAAACAAAATGGCGGTTGTTTCGTAGGCGACATGACTGTATCGCATGCAAACTCGACGAAAATAACGCATAGAATTTAAATTATCTCTATATAAAAGAATAACGTATTACAAAAGCGTAGGCTTCGTTATAACTTTACTTAAACGTATGTATACTTGTGGTATATATGTAT